AAAACAACATATTCTGAGATCCTATATTTTAATTCAATATATGTTTACTTTTATGGAGCTATCAAAAGGCAGCCTTTTTTCTAGCATCATTCTTTCCTAAACTTGTTTTCCAGGTGCATATTGAAAAGAAGGGCAGTTTTTTTTTTAAAAAAAAATCCTTCTTATATTATTCAGAAACCTACTAAAGGCTCAGCTAAAAGGCAGCTCAGGGAAAACCCATCATCACCAAAATTGCAATGGAAGAGGATGTGATTTGTAGAGGAGATAGTTCTTTAATCTTTCCCCTGATTTTATTCCCTCCCCTTGGGGACCTCCTCTCCTGTCATAAAACCCAGATATCTGTTGACTGCATCATGGAAGAAGCAGTTGAGTGGAGAGAGTGAAAAAGGGCTAAGCATCTCTCCCCCATGCATCTCCCACTGTACTTCACAGATGTTTGGTGGTAATTAGGCTTCATCCACACATCTGCCTTACCCTGGTGCCGAGATGGCCTGCTGTTTGTTGAGGATATATTTTCACAATGGAGCCTCCATCTCAGTGCCAGCCTGCTGTTGAAGTGATCTGGCATAAAAGTGATGTTTTCCAGTGGAAAACACAATATAACTCCCTATGCAAATATTTTGATTCCCAGAGAGGAGCTGCCTTAGGGCTCTATGGCCATATTTAGTTTGGCTGCTGGAAAAAACAGAACAGGCCAAGCAACCAAAGGTCCCCCCTCCCCCTTTTTAAGGCTCAGGTCGGAACATATTCTGTGAGGTTGCTATTCGTACCAGTAATCTCTACTGCTGAGTTTTTCTCCTCTCCAGTATTCAAGAGAAGAGAAAAACTGGTGACCGTCTGTCTTTTCCAGCAGGTGGAAAAGGATTTTCTTGGGAGGAGGAAAACCTAGGGAGACAGGGTTGCTTTGCCCTCCCTGATCCTCTCCCCTTCCCTGCACTTGCTCTTACCTCCACGCTGCTTCCAACAGCCACAGAACTGCCCTCATGGGAGGGCAGCAACTTTGCTGGTCTCATTTTGGAGGTGCAGCAAGAAGGGGGCAGTGGTTTCTTGAAGTTGAAGTTCTTGAGGATGGGAGGAAAGCACATCACCGGGGAGGGGGAGTCCTAAAACTCCCAAAGCAGCACCTACTACCAGGTATCTAATTTGGCCCTTACAAAGACTTTCGGTTGCTTACATCATTTTTATAGATCCACAATTGCTTTTGCATTCTTTTTGTTGAAAGTTGATTCTTGTCATCCATCTACAGTGTACAGAAGTGTTAGCCTCAGGAAGAGGCTCAATATCTCTCTAATTATCTTGCCATCACACACCTAGTGAGTGCAATGGTTGAATTTTAGCCAAATTCTGTGATGCGTCATCTTGGTTTGCAATAAATCCATTCACAGTAATCATTTTTATAAGGCTCTTTGCCTAAAATAATGGCCAAAGTCACATTCAATAGATAACAGTCCAAGAAAGCACCTTTAATGGCATAGTTGGATTAAACATCTTTTCTTAAGGTAAAGACAGAGAGAAAAATATAACACAATAAACCTTCTAATGTTAAAGACCTTCACACTGATTAGCATTCTACATTCTAGCATTTCCATTTAGATTCAGCAAGTAAACCTCACAGCATTTATTCCCTACTAACCTGATATCATAAACTGGAGAACGTAGGTCATGCGGCCCATGAGCAAAAGCACAATGAAGGCCATTCTTGGTGCAATTTCCTTTTGAATCAGTCTCATGGATGCAGATTCCAGTTTTGTAGTAGCGCAGGTGATATCTCCGCTCTGTATCACCGGTAGTTCTATGCAGGAATGGACACCTAAGGGGAGGAGGGGGAAAAAAAGAGAGCTCGTAGAAACTTAAAATCTGAAACATGCTTCCCAACAAAAAATATCCTTTAGATGAATAGTCCTCAGAGTTGACAAATCCAGCATTTTTTCCTTCTGAAAGTAATTCCATTTGTAAATTAAGGATATACATGAGGATTCAATCCTCAAAACAATTATTTTATGATAAACCTCACTAATTTCTCTAGGATTATTCCAGAGCACAAAACTTTGAAATACAGCCTTCACTTTGGGAAGAAAAATATATAGATGTAGTGCAATCATAATAAATATTTTGTTCAAGTTTCCACAGCGGTTTCTCCATATTCTTGATAGGTTCTTCTGCAAGATTTTAAAAAGCTGAGTTGATGAATTCTCCTCTGTTAGTGCAGGCTGGACTCTCCATCAGGTCAAGTAAGATGCAGCCTTGAGTAACTTACTCATCTCCTTCAGGACAGATCCCTGTGGTCTCATCATATTTGGTGCAGTAAATGTCAGGACTGTAGTTAAAGGTGCCATCCCGACGGCGGATAGATCGGCGACGACGCTGATTAACAAAGTGCCAGTGGAAGCATGTGTAGGGCCTGTGCTGAGTACACTTGTGCTGCACAAACAGGGGGCACTGCTCTGTGCGGAATTCCTTCAGGTATCTGCAGAAACAAAGAGACTGGTGTGAGTTACAGTTGGACAGCTCGACTGAGCCCTGCAACAGGTTCGGACCGAGTCATTCTGCCCTTCTTGTACAAGTCTGCTTTCAAAAGTATTCACAACAAAGCTGGGCAAACATATGGTGGCCTTATGAATAAATTATTCATTCTCTTCTTGGCAACCAAGACGTATTCTCCAACATCCATACCTGGTGCATTTCCATTTGCCTCTGACTTCTCACAAGCAAGCCAGTGAGTTGAAGACCGCAAGGCAGTCTTTAGGTTGCATTAAAATACCCAGTTTAAATTTGCCATTCTTGAATCTTCTTGTGTTAAATTAAAATACCATCTTTGTGGCAGCCATGTGCTGTCAAATGGGTATCAAAGCAAAAGGATCGAGAGATAAGGAAAGGGCAGATAGTTCATAGAAGCTTTCTGCATTAATTGCTTGTAAGTGACTCCACAGCCCAAAGGGGTGGGAATTTGATTCATCTTTTTTATAAAAACACCAGCTGCAGTACAACGTGGAGCCAAATGGCTCTATATGAGAAGAGTAAGGAAAGGCATCAAGTATTCCTATTAGTTGCAGTTCTCATTGTCCTCATAATGCTCAGGAGTACATTTTGCAGGAGCAGAAAGGAAGATGTCAAAATCTGGTATTGGAGCAGTTATTTTGATACAAGTCAATGAATGCTGAGAATCTGCATCAGCTATTATGTTCCTTCCATTCATAAAATGGAAAGTTGGGATTTTTGTCATTGGCTAGATCCCCACATCATAACACATCTATTTGATTATTTGTTTTTTTCAAAGGAAGAAAATCAAACTGCCATAATTTGCCCAAAAAATTTAGCAACTGAATCCTCGAGGGACAAACAGTGGCCTGCAAACTGCCTGCCTTATTATAGTTCAAGAACATGAAAGGAGAATCAGAAGAAAACAAGAAAGTATTTTGATTTATCCCAAGGAAAGGTAGATTAATTTTTAATAATTACACGATAATGCTAGAGAAGCAAACTTATGTGCCTGGTTTCATATTTCGGTTGATGCCGATTCCCTTTATTTGTATCTTTGTTACCATGTGATGCATAGCACATTTAATGAATTACACTTTTCTGATAATACTGTATTCCATGCCAAACTATCTTGTTTTTCTGTTGTAGCTAACTATGAAACCATTAGTGACATTCAGAAGCTGCTGGCTTATCTATGACAAGACAATGTATTATTAAAGCAAATTCATTAAAATTTGGAAGAAAAAATAAAATAAACTGCAATCATTCCTTCAGTTTGTTTCTTTTCATATTTAAACTCTACTGCTCTTTAACTGCAAAGAGGCAGTGGTCTACGGAGAGATAAAGAGTGTGCTACTTTCCCACAACCAGCTGGCTGGAATGTTCAGTTGGCTGATAAAAACCGACCACTGTTTTTTCACTGCTAACAGCAAGAGAAAACCAATCATTTGAAGCACTGTAGGAGAAAAGCCATGTTAGTCTGTGGTGGTAAAATACAAGGCGGAGGAGTTTGGTAGCAACTTTTCCGACTAACAAAATTTTATGAAAAGACATAAGGTTTCAAGAGGTGCAACTCACTTCATCAAATGCATAGAGAGGTTAGGCTGATGTAGGATTCTACATCTGAAGCAGGATCTCTGGGAAGGAAGAAGTCTCTCTTGCTTTCCAGACCTTCCCATTGATATGATTTAGTATTGCTGGGAGGCAGTGAGGAAACTAGAGAAGTAAGAACTGATCCAAATAAATTAGATAACCCTTGGCCTAATGATCATCTGTTTTAAGCCCTCACTGGAAATCCTGCATATTTAGCAAAATAACCATATTTTAGACACTGTTCTATTCAATTTTGTTTTGATGTGGGTGTGAGCAAAAGTGTGCACTCATGGTACAGGAACACATCTTTGTTTACTCAAAAATATTTGAATTTTCTTAGGAAACTGGATCGGTTATTTAAAAAACAAATTCCTAAAACAATTAAAGAGGCATTGCTTCAATATTTACTAACATCATTTACACAAAATAATTTAAAAGCTTGAATCCATCTGTACTATTCTGATTCAATTAATACTTTCAGATTCTCAAGCACTGCTTATTACTACACAGTTTTTAAATTAATACAATGATTGCAAGCACTAAAAGATTATAGGCAGTCCTCAGCTTACATCCATTCATTCAGCGACCATTCAAAGTTATGGTGGCACTGAAAAAATGGACTTATGACTGGTCCTCAAAGTTCCGGCTGTTGCAGCATCCCAACGGTCATGCAATCCAGGCACTTGGATGCCCAGCTCACAATTATGAATTCACAGTGAGCTGTGTCATAGGATCCCTGCATCATTTGCAACCCTCCCTGACAGGTTCCCACAAGCAAAGTCAGTGGGGAAGCCAGCAGGGAAGACTGCAAGTCCCAGCGATCTGCAGCACCCCCCCCCCACGGCCTGCCTGAGGTCACCACCAGTCCACCTATGGCCTCCGCTGACCCACCTGAGGTCTCTGCCAATCTGCCTATGCTTTCTAGCACCCACCTGCAGCATCCTACCTCCCTGCGGCCCCTGTGCACCCCCCTACTCCTTACCTGAGATTCCTGCCTCTTCCTGCTTAATGATCTGTGCATCCTGGGGTTACAACAGCAACCAGGAGTGCTGGGATTGCAGTCACTAAGGAATGCAGTCACATGATGTCGTACTTTACAACTGCATCACTTAGTGATGGTAATCCAGGTCCCAACTGCCATCGTAACCCAAGGACTACCTGTATTGCCAAAAATCAAGGATATTTCGAACGTACAGGAATCTGTAAACAGTTTTGTCAGCTCAAAACAAGGGAACAGTTTTGTTCTGGAATATTTGGCTTCAGACTAATCTACATTTATTATTAACCACCAGAATTAGAACATCTTTTTTTACAATGGTTTTTATCAATACTAATTATATGTTTTTAAAAAAGCATCTACAATACTGGTTGGACTACAGTATGCAAATAAGCAAGCATATTGCAGCATTTACATCATATAATAATTTATATCACCTTTATTGCAAATGCAAAAGAATTCTTACATCAGCAACTTGTTCCCAAGGGTTAACAATCTTTACACAGGAACAGCTAGCCAATACAACTCAGAAATGCAAATTAAACTTGGAAATCAAGATCATGATCCAGGACTAAATTTCAAGCAGGAAATTGTGTATGTGGATATATGGACATAACTATAGGTACTCCAGAAGGCAACAGTGAGAACACTAATGTTCTCACTGTTCATGTTATACTCACGGATAGGCCATTCCTCCCTCAATAAATATATCGGTTAGTAAGAGCCCAATCTCCAACCAAGTAAGACAATTTCCTTTGTTCATTTTTAGACTCTTGATCTGATTAAACATTATCAAATTACAGATCACAAAGCTAGTATGCCACTTCATATAATCAAACAGCATAACCTTATCAAAGCTGAACAGGAAAAAGGGGCATCATATCAAAACTATCTATCTAGCAAACTGTTTTCTATATAAGAAAGTCTAAACAAGAGGTATGAAGCATTTGCAGAATTGTCCCATATTTCTATATTCTATTTTTAGCTATCTTCAGTTCTTAGCAATCATAAACAAAATATTTGTTTGGGGTCAAAATGTTTATGCTGGCATGGCTTCCCACTTTTCCTGCCATTGCCCCTTCAATTTGAGTTTAAATATTGGCAAAAGACACTTTTTGGAAGTGGACTGCCATTCTGACACTTGGATTAACCAATTATTGATCCTGATGCCTATATATTCCCATGCAACAAAATACAACATGATAGTTAACAGATGGAAGAAATGTCATGTAGGAGCTCAGGATAAATGAATTTAAGGCCATCAATGAACAGCGGGTGGGTACGTTACTGAAGCAAAACCCTTACCACAAAAGAAGTTAATTTAATTTAAGTCTTGCCACAAATGCAGGGGGATGCCTATATCAGTCATTGCACCCAATAACCCAAATAGACCTATCATTTTAGTCTTGGGTTGTTTCACAGAAATATTATGGGTTAATTACAGAATTCAAAGTCACACCCAATATTAAATCTATGTCCTATGCCAAGCTAGGTGACAGCACTAGTTCTATACAACTTCATCCAACCTTGGCTGATCTCAAAGAGATAAGCAAAGTAGAACCTGGTTCAGTACTTAACAGGGGACAATCAGGGAATGCAAAGGCTGTACCGTAGACTGGGAAGTAAAAAAGAAGAGGAGGGTGGAATTCTGTGGCATTTCTAATGGTGAAGGCAGTTGGATGTATTTAGGCATTACTGGATGAGAAATTACAATTTGACTGTAGTTCTCATGAGAAATTGAATCTTTGGAATAGCCCTTCTTTTAAAATGACAGGAAAACTTTTTTAAAAAGAAAACATGAGCAGAAAATGGGATAGTTGCTTTTAATCAGTTAATTAACGACACCTTAAAAAATTCTGAAAGCTAACAAAGGAATATACAGTAATTTATCTCAAACATATGAATGGTAATATACAATTAAAGCATCTATTATGCTTTTTGTTTGATCCAGATGCCTTTGCTGCCTCTAAAATCCTAGTAGTTTTCAATGTATAAGAGAAAGTTTCTATAGAGGTTAAACCAACAATTCAACATTATCATCAAAATATTTTACAAAAATAAATATACAGAACTCTTTCCTATATTACTAAACCAATCATCACAGGCTTTAAAAAAATTGAATATGTTTCTTATAATTTAAAACAAGGTTAATTCCATAAAAAAAATCTTTTTGGGGTCCACTGGACTCCTGAACAGATGTTTTAAAAAGAGTGGTTACCATCCTTCTTATTAAGGAGAAGAAATAAACGTGAAGGTATTTTCATACATATATGTCCATTGGTAATTTCTTCTGTGTTGGATATTCTTCCTGCGGTGAGCCAGTTTTGGGAGGAGTTAAGTTAGGATTCAAAGATTTATAGTAGTTTCATTATTTTTTCTCCATTGGTAGATCTAAAGAG